CTGAAGAAGAGTATTTGGTTTTCTACTAAGTAGTCGTAAGTTCCGAATAGAAGACCATTCCATTATAGATAGTTGGACTAATATTTTGTACACTTGATATCACACCTTTTGTACTGCTGACATTGTCTCAATGTGATGAACAATGAAATGATTTCAATTATCAAAAAAAAAAAGATGAAGGAATTATTTTCATTTTATTTAGTTGTTTTACATTTAAAAAGCCAGAAATAAGCATTCATATCTGGAAACACGCAACATATCTAACAAGTATCTTAAAATGTATTCAATGTGTATATCATTCATACAGTTCATGATGATTGAGAAGATATTTGGTTTTCACAAGTGCGTAGTCCATAGAAGACCATCCATTACAAACAAGCCCATTAAACATTATTACTCACTGCAACTATTGTCAGAGGTTCAAAATGAATCATCTATGATGAGAATTCATTAACAAAAGAGTTGTAATGATTTTGTTGTGTAATTGTGACAATATCAGCAAGTTCCTCATACACAGCAACTGAAAATTAATGTGATATATATNGATTTTTGCAAATTAAGGATAATAACCATTAGTACAGTACATCAAGACCAAAGCAAATATATTTTAGCATCTATACCTCCAATATGATACAACCTATTTGGTTAGAACCATTCTCCAAGCAGAAATCAATATTTTAATTATGCGCCAATAACATGAGGTGATCATTTCCAGATGTGACATATATGTTGCTTGGTACAGAAGATATCTTCACAAGTAGGCAGGTCTGAACAGAAGACGGTGATGTGATATTTCACGAACGATATAAGCTGTCGTGATGAAGACAGGCCATAATGAACTATAAAAGGTGATTAAAATAAATTGTTTTATAATTGAAGTTATATCCTCAGAAATGGTGAGCATTTGACAAATGTGAGCGGCCAATGTTACGGAAGGGTTTTCTCGTTCAGACTCTGTACAGAGCATGTGGTAGAGAGGGTGTAAAAACTGAAAACCGAGGTAATTTCAAAACGCAAAAGAATACTTGATTTTTATGGTAAAGCCAATTGCTATCTTCAAATCAGCAGAGAACTGCTAGAAGGATTAACTTATGGGGAAAAAAATAGAAACGGGGAACATAAGGTTAAGTTCGCTTTCAGGTACCTGATTTTCTTCTGCTTGCTGCGCTGAGGTTTTTGTTTCCTCCTTCTTAGCCCGCTTAGTCCTTTCACTTGGCTTAGCTTGATATCTGGCCCGTACTTCAGCAGGCAAAAGTTCCAGAGGCACAACCCCCTCAATACCATGCTCTGTAAACTGAAAAAGAAACATGTAACAAATTTCATTGAGAAATTTAACATTTAATGATAAAGACTGGAAATCACACCCATAAGTTAGCTCATACTCTGGAAAATCCCTCCAAGTCTTGGCGGGCTGAAAACCGCAAACCTTTCCAGCAATAGACCTGGATAGATCCCAGGATACATCGTTATAATCATGCTTCCAAGAAAGAGAAGTCATAGAAATATGCATCGTGAGCAGCGCATAAAGATATATGATGATATCAACACATAACAATTTTCTCTGCGAGTTCTCATTTTTACTTTTAGAGTGAATTATTACATATTGTTACATGTGACATCTTCCATATAGCATGAGAACAAAGAATCCTTATACACATGCCCCAGAAAGTGCATTTGACCACCACACTATCCCAACAAATGAACAGAGAGTGAAATAATAGGCAGGGTCACAATATGTCAGATAGAACATCTATTTGATCTTTGGCACTGGTTTTCATCCCTGAGGGGAGGACTCTTATGATGAACACATAGCTCGTGTGGAACAGCTTAAGGAATCTTAGCATTCCAATTACTTTCTTTACCCACACACGGATTATGACCCAAAATCATTCTATGCAATGGGTTTAGATCCATGTGCCACTTAATTACTGATTAGAAACTACAGAAGAAAAGGAGTTGATCATGTGTTGGGACCAAGTGACAACTTGGAATAATTCAAGGGTGTTACGCCAAAACATTCAAGAAAATGTTTTGTTTAAAAATAGAAGTATACAACTTGTGTTCTAATAGAAGATTCTGAACTATCAGCTATATCTATACACCAGGATAAACCTTTTCTTCTTTTTTGATAATGGTAACAATTTAATAAAGGGAGAACTACACAAGTTGTGAAGTCTCCAGATTTACAAAGACAAGTAAAAAAAAATCCAAGATGTTTGTCATCTTACAAAAAATCTAGGACATCAAAAATAGAGTCTGCTTCTTCTATGCTTACTTCTTTACACCAAAAATAGAACAAGACTGGACAGTTCGTCTTCATTTTCTGAATGGAACTGTGTAAGTCCTCTAGCCAAACTGCCCACCAAATGCATGCTGGGACAATCTTCCATCTCTTCTTCTGACTGGATAGGTTGCCATCCCTGCTCCAACTTTTTCATACATCAACTATTCTTCCAGGAATCACCCATCTGATTCCCCTCAGGTTGATGAAAATTTTCCAAAGCTGGTCAGTCTAATTGCAGTGTAAAAAGAGATGGTTTATCGTCTCTGCCTCTTCTCCAAATAAGCAACATCTAGAGCACAGTTGATAACCTCTCTTTACCAGATTGTCATGAGTCAAGACTGCTTCTTTAGCTAAAAGCCAAGTGAAACATGCCTGCCACCTTACAGGGTATTTTAACTTTCCAAATCATCTTCCATGGCCAGCACCCAACCTGATTGTTAGATAGGTTGTATTCCTTATAAGCTGACTTTAACTGAGAAGATACCTTTACTATCCCCCTTCAACACCATGTTGTCCTCAGCTGCAACAATGCCTCTGAATTGTGCCAAAACATTGTAGAATTCTGAAATTTTGATCATCTCCCAGTTATTTAATAGCCTTCTGAAGCTGAGGTTCCACCCTTGTTCTGACCATACACCAGCCACTGTTGTCTCTTGTTGTTGACATAGGTTATATATATCTGGGAGTAGTTGCTTTAAAGGTTCCTGAGTTAACCAGTTATCCTCCCAAAAAGAAAACTTCATACCATTACCTGCTTTGTAACTAGACTTTCTTCTGAAAGCCGGCCAATAATTTCTTATAGATCTACACAAACTGACCCCATAGGGAGTGCTTACAGGCTTTGATGCCCAATTACCTCCCACGCCATACTTTTATTTGATGGTCTCTTTCCATAGTGAATTCTCATCTGTAGAAAACCTCCACAACCACTTCATCATCAAGCTTTGATGCTGCACCTTCAAGTTTCTAATTCCCAGACCCCCTTCCTTTTTGCTAACTATCTAACTCTTCCATTTAACCAAATGAAACTTCTTTCTTTCACTATTACCTTCCCACAGGAAGTTTCTTCTAAGCACATCAAGTCTTTTTAACACATTTGCAGGCATTGGAAATAAGGACATCATGTAAGTGGGTAAGGCATCCAACACACCATTGATCAAAGTTAATCTACAACCCCCTCCCCCCCAAGTGACAGATATTGACTCTTCCAATTGGTCAACTTCTTCTCACATTTCTCTAAAACTCCATTCCATATCCCTTTTGATTTGCTCTTTGCCCCAGTGGCATTCCCAAGTATATAGTGGGTAGCTCTCCTATCCTTCCACCCAAAGTTCTAGCTAGATTATAAATGTCTGTCACATCATTGACCGGAAAGATATCGCTTTTATTCCAGTTAATGTTCAGACCAGAAGTGGCTTCAAACAGTATAAAGATCACCCTAACCAAGATAAACCTTTTCCTAATCTCTCTTTTAACAGCAAATGTACCTTTTAAATTTTTTATCTGATACTCCTCCGTTTCAAATTAGATGACACATTTCGTTTATCGAAAGCCAAACTATGTAAAGTTTGACCAACTTTTTAAAATATCTTTTTTTATCATATTGACATGAGAAAAATTGCAACTTATAGTACTTTTCTATAGTTTTAAATATCTAAATTTTAATTTTAAAATGCTGAGTTGAACTAATCTAATTTAGCTTCAAAATGTAGTCAAATTGATCTTGATAAGCGAAATGTGTCATCTAAATTGAAACAGAGCGAGTACAAGATCTTTACTTAGTCCAGCTTTGAGGCTCACACAAGTCCTGTATATTTTTTTTACTAGGTACAAGTTCTGTATATGTAGAGATAAATATGCACTCATCTATGACAACACGGTTTTATTATATTCTAACGTAAATGAGCTTTAGCTACTTATTGTGTGTATATAACCTTAGTTATGAGTTGATCAGTTCTGCACTAGAATATATTATGATACAAAAATGAATCCTAATATCACTGATTTTTGGTGTATAACAAACTGTTAGAAAGGAATCCAAATAATTCAATGAAATAAACCAGAGTTAGCTAGCATTATGTTGCTATAATGCCTTCTTAAACATGCCATTGTTAAAAACATAAAAATAGGAGGTCACTTAAGCTGTAACCAAGAACATAATGAATGTCATGGTGGTAATAAGACGTGTAGGAAAAAATCAAGCAGAAAAGATGAAGACACTTACCCGGTTATTTTTGTGATGGTATTCTGCTTCTATTCCAGCAGATTCATCCATCTAGAAGAGAGAGAAATCAAACTGAGAAACTCAAAAATCAAGGAAATACTACTAAGATACCTGTTCCTATCGCAATTAAAGGAATAACACAAAGTAAAGATTAGAAGAACATCTCCTACAAAAGTTGCTTTTCTTAAGAAACTTAATGGATGCTTACATCTTCTGCCAGAGGTTTCCAGTAATCTGTGATAGAGGGAGTGCACACACGTTGAGTATCAGTTAAAGCATTCTGGAGAAAGAAGAGTAAGAGAAGATAATTACATTTAGCCATTCAACATCAAAATAATAAGCTCCATCTTCTTCAGAGTCAGATACGTTGAATAAGACATGTTAAAAACTACATATTCATGGTTTTAGTTTTTTGGATGATACAATTTCAAAGTCAAGATTGAGAATCAGATGAAATTAGAATTCTTGCAGAAAGAAATCAGTCATACACAGTTCGAGAGCAAGGATAAATAATTTACAATAGGAGCACGCGACAAATATTTCTTGGTGAAATCATATTGTAGATGATCGCTCAATAGCGGGGATGCAAGGTCCATATGGAACTATGGAAGACGAAAGCACCTAGGAAAGAGGGGTCCTTAACGTGGTGCGACATGGATGCTATCTTAAAAGTTAACAACTTATGAAATGGAGAAGTATGTTACGAATCAGTGTTGTTTGTACAAAGTGCATCGGAAGGATGCGGATCATTTACTAATAGTGCAGTTTGCAACATAGCAAACTGATCTTAGTATATTCTATTTAGTATAAAGGCTGTGTAAGATACCACCTCTTTATATATTCCAAACAACCTGAAGAGGAAACAAATAGAACTTCTAAAAGCGAGACCAGCATAGAAAGTCGAAGGAGATCTTGTTCATTTGTAATTTTGGGGTAAACAGAACATTCTTTCTTGTATAGATAGTTGGACTAATATTTTGTACACTTGATATCACACCTTTTGTACTGCTGACATTGTCTCAATGTGATGAACAATGAAATGATTTCAATTATCAAAAAAAAAAAGATGAAGGAATTATTTTCATTTTATTTAGTTGTTTTACATTTAAAAAGCCAGAAATAAGCATTCATATCTGGAAACACGCAACATATCTAACAAGTATCTTAAAATGTATTCAATGTGTATATCATTCATACGTTCTATGATGACTGTAGAAGAATATTTAGGTTTTCGTTACAAGTAGCGTAGTCCACTAGAAGACCATCCACTTATACGAATAGTCGACTAAC